ACACACACTCTCACTCACACACACTCTCTCACTCACACACACTCACACACACACACACACTCTCACTATAACACATACACACACACACACACACACACACACACACTCTCACTATAACACACACACACACACACGCACAGGTGTATTTACGCCACATGCCCGTACAGTTGTATCATATTAGGCCTTTCTTATCAGCTTTTTAATTTATTTTTGTAACCTGGAAATGGCGATGAAGACGACAACAATGTGAAAATTCGGCCGTATACTCAGCTGAGCGTGCCTCTGATCTTCAGACTCTGAGATCCTGTGGTTTTGTGCTTTAGAAATAATCTTAGAAGCGTTTGTCCTCAATGCGGCAACATCTGCGGTTGCTTTTAAATGATTTTATTCTGTTTATTTCTTTATTTGTAAAAAGTCCACACCATATTTGGAAATGCTTCCATTTTTTTCCGTCAGCGCTCACTGAAAACGAATGACTTCCAGCCACTTTTTCGCTGCAAATGTTGTCAGTTTTATCACTCCATAATGCATCCATTAATATGTACACTAAAAAAAGCCAACATTTGTTGAACATTTACTCACCCTCAGGCCATTTAAGATGTAGAAGAGTTTGTTTCTTTATCAGATACAGAGAAATGTAGCATTACATCACTTGTTCACCAAAGGATCCTCTGCAGTGAATGGGTGCCGTCAGAATGAGAGTCCAAACAGCTGATGGTTTAAAGTTAAATCGTCTTAATAATGGATTTGTTTCTTAAAAACATGCAGCTTTTCACTTGTGGTGTGGATTATTGTGATGTTTTTATCAGCTGTTTTGGACTCACTTCTGACAGCACCCATTCACATTCACAGGAAGTGATGTAATGCTAAATTTCTTCAAATCTGTTCTGATGACGAAACAAACTCATGTACATCTCGAATGGCCTGAGGGCGAGTCAATTTTCAGCAAATGTTCAATTTTGGCTAAACTTTTCCTTGAATTTATATCTATCATTCTGTTAAATTTCCAAGCGAATAGCTAATTGGTTAGCCAACACATTTTACGACCACGATGACCGTCTCATTTTCACGTGATAGTGATTCTGTTCCTCTAGCTGTGCAGCTCTCTTCCAAGTGCTCTTCCCTACGCAGCGGAGACATTTATCAGAGGCAGAATTACTCCGGCTATACTTTTGTATTTGACTGCAACATTACTAGCATTTGAAAATTGAAAATCAGTATAATGTAAAGTGAATATATGTAAATGCACTGAAAATATTTAAACATTTATCAATATATTTCAGCTTTGTTTTAGGGATGATTGTATATATGTTCGATGAACTCATTTAAGTATATCGCCTGTTGTTTTAAGTGTAATATTCTCATAGAATTGGCCGTTTACGTGGACTGATATCCTACAGCTATTG